TGGATCTCTGGAACTGGTGTGTTGTATGATTGTGAGCTACCATGTGGGTGCTAAACTTTTTACATAAAATCACTGGAAAACATGGATAATGCTACTATTGCTAAACAGTGAAATTCCATAAACCTTTCATCAGAAAGAGAAAATAGTAATTAGTTCATAGACATGTCAAAAATATTTATTTGCTTGTAAAGGTAAAGCAACACCTGTGGTGCAGCCATCTGAAAACACTGTCACGTGACCTTTTCTGATAGTTACTCTTTCAACTCCTGATTTTAAAAAAAGATTTATTTTTATTTTGTATGAGTGTTTCAGTTCTTTAAAAAATTTTTTTGATTTATTTATTTTTATTTTATATGCATGAGTGTTTTGCCTACATGTGTATAAGTGCACCACATGTGTATGCAGTGCCCATAGAGACCAGAAGAGGACATTGGATTCCCTGGAACTAGAGTTACAGAAGGCTGTGAGTTACCATGTGGGTGCTGGGAACCAAACCCAGGTCCTCTGCAAGAGCAGCCAGTACTCTTAGCCACTGAGCAATCTTTCCAGACCTTTCAACTTCTTATTGAAAGGATCTATAAAGGCAGAAAAATAGAATAGCCTTATTAGTACTTAAAACTAAGGTTAATAATTAAACTTTGGCAAGAGATGGGGAATTCTTGTTTTCAAATGGCACCCATAGATGAAGATGGGATAAAATAAGAACTGTAAAGTGCAATGTATATCCATTCTCCCCTTGCAAGTACAGCAGAGGAAGAAGGAAGATGATTTGAGCTTCCACATCCAAAAAGAGCTTAATTCAGAAGGGGTTTGTGAGCCAAGCTCCTGGGCAGGTCACCCAAGTATGTGTGGGGGCTTAAGGAAACAATCTATCCAGTGGCAGAGAAATTTCATAATTACAAACACAGGAATGGCAAAGCTGTTCTGGAAAGTTGACTAGAGGTGGGCATTACAATGGATTTATGGTCAGTCCAAACAATGATGTGTGTATAACTGAATGCAAATGTCAAAACTGATTCCAGAAAAATTTACTAGATTGTAAAAGTAGCAATTAGTAATAAGCTAGGGATAATATGTCAGATCACAGCGACCACAGATACAGAGAAGGCAGGACAATGAACCAGTAGTAAATTCTTCACTTTACATTTTTATTTCACTTTTTTACCTTTGATAAATACAGAAATTATGATTTTAAGATTGATTAATAGGCCTGGAGAGATAGCTCAGTGGTTAAGAGCACTGGCTTCTCTTGCACAGGATACAGATTTGGTTCTCAGCACCCACATAGTGACTAACCACTATCCATAACTCCAGTTCCAGTGGAGCCAATGCCCTCTTTTGACCTCCATGGGCATTGCATGACATGGGTGCACTTATATAGATGCAGGCAATATACTCATACACATAAAATAAAAATAATGAATAAATTAAATGGATTAATAGAGAAGTATGTTTTTGAAATCATGAAAAATAACCACTGTTGGGGATGGAGATATGGCTCAGTGATTAAAAGCACTTGCTGTTCTTCCAGAGGGCTTGAGTTTAATTTCCAGTAACCACATGGTGGCTAACAACCACCCATCATTCCAGTTCCAGAGGATCTGACACCTTCTTCTGGCTCTCATGGGCACTACATGCTTATACACATGTAGGAAAAACACCCATATACATAAAATATTTTTAAAAGAATATTAAAAAGCATTGTAAAATCTAAATCAGAATATGCATTTTTCAAATCAGCCAGGCTGTCTGAGTTCAATCCCCAGAACCACATAAGGGTAGAAAGAGAGAACAAACTCCACAAAGTTGTTCTCTAACCTCTACATGAATGCCAAAAAAATAATAAAATTTTAAAAACATGATAACAATAAATGTCTAATTTTCAGGATTCAGTGTATTTGTTAGGGTTGCTTGGTTGCAAGTGACAGAATCCCAATTTGAAGCACCTTGAGCAAAAGGGAAAGTTTTCTGATTGACATGAGTAGAACAGGAAAAGAACAGGTAAGACTGAGGGCTTCGTGAGACAAGACTGGAATGCTCCAGGCACTTCCATCCTAGTCCATCTCTTTCAGCCTGTGTGCCAGCTTTCTTTGATCTACTTTGCTTCCTCTTGTGCCTGTTCCTGGGCCCAGGCATTTTGCCTGAGGAAGAAGGACTGTGGAAGAGCCCATAAGCACTCTTGGAGAACTGAGAATGAGTGGAACCAAGGAAGGATTACCATGTCTCAGGAAGATAGGGATGTGTGATGGTTTTTTAGGAAAACAGAACTATGCCACTCAAGTATAAAATTACAGTATAGTCCACAGCAAAGAAATGAACCAGGCATTTTTATAACTAAAAAGACAATTAAAGATATCAATACAAGCTAAAGAATAAATCAAGTGGCAATATTAATAGTCATGATAGGTATAATGCAAGTGAAAAGTCTAGGGCTGGACCAAGAACACTTTTGATATTGATGACAGGTACAGCCATCAAGGACCCTTGACAGTAATGATGTAAAGATCATAAAGCCTCTGAACAAATCTGTAGCATGACTATCCAGACCAAACTGGTTAGAACAGTGGAGAGAGATTACATCAAAGCATCATGGGTGAAATAAAGTGCAGAGGCCAGTGGTCTGGGTTCCTATCCTGGTTCCTCTTTTTATAGCTGTGTGACTTACTTCATATTTCTGTGTCTTCATTTCTTTTTTTAAAATATTTATTTTATGTATATGAGTATATTGCCTACATGTATGTAAGAGTATCTGTGTCATGCAATGACCACAGAGGTGCCTCTTCTGACCACACAGGTGCACCTACATACAGGCAATATACTTGTACACATAAAATTAAAAAAATAATAAATAACATTTGTAAAAGTAATGAAATATAGTTTGGAAACAGATGGCATATACACTCCTTGAGAACCTATGAACAGATGAGCATCCGTGAGTGCTGTTGAAGCTGACCATGCACCAGGCCAGAATCCTTGGTAACTGACCCAAAAGAGTAGTGTACTGACCAGAGTCCAGGGAGGCCTCTAGAATGCATGATCCCATCCCAGTAACATCTTGACTGAGTTTTCTGTGACTGAGCCCAGGACTGGAAGACCAAGAGGAAAAGCAGGAGATGGGCTAGGATGCTACCTCTGTCTTCCAGCCTGGAGATGATGATGATTTGGACTAAGGTGAACACAGTGGAGGATGTGAGGTGCTCCTGGATAGTGACTGAATGTTGCAGGTCCAACTGATGGAACTTGGTAAATTGAACATACAGCGAAGTCAAAGATCAGAGGAATGGTGATGACTGAGCACTTGGGGAGGAGTCAATTTGGCTGGAAGAGGCAGAAGTGAGGGTTTATTCTATTTTATTTTAATTTACGTGTATAAGTGCATTGCCTGCATGTATGTAAGTGCAGCCATGTTATGCAATGCCCACGGAGGTCAGAAGAGCCTGTCAGATCCCCTGGAACTTGAGTTATGGATGGTTGTTAGCTGTCATGTGGGTGCTGGGAACTGAACCCAGGTCCTCTGGAAGAGCAGCCAGTGCTCTTAACTGCTGAGCCATCTCTCCAGCCCTGAGGATTTTATGTTTGATCTGTGGCTGCTAGTCTCCTCAGGCTGTCCTAATAGTGTAAGAGCTAGGAAGCTAGAATCCAGAGAACTTTGCTATTTTATAGTTCTGGAGGCTGGAAATCAAACTGGTAGAGGAGCTGTCCTTTGACAGTCTGGGGGAGGATCCTCCACTGTCTCTTGTTGCACACTCCTGGGGGTAGCCAGCCATCCTTGGCACTCCAGGCTTATAGACACACCCCTCCTTGCTACCTGCTGGCTCCTTTCTGTATCAACATATCATCTTCCCTCTGGGCATGTCTAAATTCCCCTTCCTTATAGGAATGCCTATTCTGTTGAATTAGGACCTTGACATTGGTTTTGCTTGATTGCCCATGTAATAAACTTATATCCAAATAATATCCTGTTTTGAGGTACTGAAGATAGGGCTTCAGCATACTTTTGGAAGGTTTGAGTTATTAAAGTTCAACTCAACACCTGTTAAAAATGACTGCAACCATTCAAGTGGAGGCATCAGTGAGGAGTGAGATGGGGATGCTGTGTACTTGCCTTTCCTTGGGTCACTTGTGTCACAAATAGCACTGCAGTGTGCATCTTCAGGTGTGAATGTCATTCTGTACTTTGAATTTTAGTTTGAAGTCAAAAAAGGCACCTCTTACTACCTGTCATTATCGTTCTGTGGGGAGGAGGATACAGTGGTTTATGGTGCAGTCAATCTAATCTATGGAAACGGAAAGTTAACAAAACACTCCTACCTCCTTGCTTCTATTTTCTCAGAACATTTACCTCCAGGCACTGCTAGACACAGATTAAGCAGAAATTTGGCTTATGAATTTCTGAGTGTATGGAATTAAGTAACACGTTTCTATAACATCCAAAGTCAGAGAACCACAATCTGTATGCTTCTTTGTTGAAAGGGTTATCAGGTTTTGCATTAGATCTTGAAAGCATTCATTCTGTTTATTCTTTGATTCATTTATTTTAATTTTTAAAGACTTTTAATTTATTTTTATTCTGTGTAAAGTGCACCCATGTCGTGCAATGCCTGGGGAAGTCAGAAGAGAGCATTAGATCCCCTGGAACTGGGATTACAGACAATTGTTAGTCACTATGTGGGTGCTGAGATTCAAACCTGGGTCCTCAGCCATCTCTCCAGCCCCTCATTTATTTTAATTTAAATAAATTAAATAGTAGTTTCTACTATGCCCCAGGCACTGGTCTAGATAGTGGATGTAAATAGAAAACAAGACATATTAGTCAACTGCGTTGCGATTATGTAGTGCGATAGGTACTGGGGAGGACTGCGGTGCTTTGATGCTATGAGGGCATATAGGGGGAACACCAAGGGGTATGGGAAAGTTTTGTTGGAAGTAGAGGCTTGTGGCATAACACACAAATGCTCATAAGCACACTAGTAACGTTCGGAACGTATTCTTCATTTCAGCGCTGCGATAGTATATTCCACACTTAAGCTTCTCCAAGATGCAAAGCTTTTCAAAAAGAAAGGAATACTGGGTGACGCAGAGGATCTCAATTCTCCAGGAACTCCTGTATGTATGAATTAGCAATATGCATTCTATAGTCACTATGGCATGGTAGGAAATTGTCTAATTGCTTGGATGAAGCAAAGTGGAAAAATTGAAAATAAAACAGGGAATTGGGATAAAAGTGTCTGTGTTTAGGTCTCATTTATGCTATTTATTGAGGAAGTCTCTTAAATTATTTTCTAAATTTTTGTGATCTCATTTGTGAGCTGTTGGAATGGAATACAGTAATCACCAAAAGGTCATTCAGATGAGTCATTTTAGTAAATCTAAATATGGTCTAGCAAATTTCTTCCCAAGACCCACTCATCCTTGTGCTCTTGAGTTTATCACCTGGACATCATGGAAAGACACCTATACTCTTTCCTGGTTTGGATTCTTAGTACTCAGAATCCTCCATATAGACACTGTCAAATGACCTTGGCAGCTGGTCACAAGTTCTAACATTATAGACTTTGCTCAGATCACACAGTTTAATGATAGAAAATTGTTTAGGATTCTGTATCAGATTCCTAATCACACAGTCTTTGCTCATGATTTCAAGCATCACTAATGAAATTACTAATATCCATCATCATTACAAATTAGTGGAACTAATTGTCCTAAATACAGACTCATTTCTAAGTGTATTAGAAATGCAATCTAATTTTTTTAAAAAAATCTATTTTAAACAATGTATGCCAACTGGAGGTGCATTTTACATTCCAGGGGGGCATTTTTGGCACTGTCTGGACACATTTGGTTGTCATAAATAGGGAATCCACTGGTATTTACTGGGGAGAGTTCAGGGATGTTCCTAAACATCAGTCATGTCAGAGACCCCTTGCTCCCTCCCTCACAGCAATTATCTGGCACCAAAAGTCAGAGTTCCAAGGTTGAGAAATCCTAGATAAGAAGAGCTTAGGGTTGGTTTTCTTCTGCTACACGCAATGCTGTCATTGAGAGATTGTTTTGGTCATGAGCAATTTATTTCTATATTTCTAATAATTTAAGTTCTGGACTCTAGTTTTGGGCTCATTCTGACCCCACATCTGGGCTTCTTTTCCATGCTTGCTTTTGTTCCCAGAAATAGCACACTTTTCTTTGTCTATCCACCTGTCTCTCCATCCCCTTCATATGTCCATGCTCTCCATTCTATTGGCTGCTCCCAGACAGCAGGTGTTGCTGAATGGCCACAGAAATTCTAGAATAGACAAAGGTTGCTGGAGATGCTTTTAAGGTATCCAAATGTCTGCCATCTATTTTCCCTAGAAAAAGATTTTCCTTGGGGGCTGGAGAAATGGTTCAGTGGTTAGGTTAAGAGCACGGGCTGCTCTTGCAGAGGACCCAGTTTCGGTTCCCAGAACCCACATGGCAACTAACAACCATCCGTAATGCAAGTTCCAGGGAATCAGACGCCCTCCTCTAGCCTCCTCAGTCACTGCATGACACGGGTCCACTTACATACATGCAGGCAATATACTCATACACATAAAATAAAAATAAATATTTGAAAAAGTTTTTCTTACAGTTCTCTCCAGTAGCTCTGGGCATTGAGTTCCCCCCTGTAACATGTAGCAACAAGATAGTGAGTTAAAACTTGGAGTGTAGCACAGCAGACTTGAAATTCAGGAGGGCACAGTGCTGCTTCACCTCTGCCATAATGTGAGGAGGTTTAAACGAGGTAGTTAATCTATGTGAGTCTCAGTTCTTTCATCTCTAAGATGAATATAATAATAAGCCCTGTTTGGTTGTTAGGAAGAGGACATGAAATGATGCATATAAAGATATATAAAGATGAGTTGTAAGGATGTAATGTAATGACATGGTAAGCATGCAGCAAAAAATACTGAGTACTTTTTATCGTTTTTATCAGTTAAAATTGTATTTTCAAAGCTTTTCCATGACCTGGAAACTGCCAATAATATGATTTGCAAAGAAAAATTGAGGCTACAAAGCTGTTTTTGAAGAGTGCATGCAGAGAGAAAAGACAAGCTGAAAAATGGCATAAAGTGTTAATAGAGGATTTTGGGCTAGCCAGAGATTTTACTAGCTCATGTATATTTTGTGTTTCATATACTCTTCTAAAATAGTCAAAATTTAAAATATAATGCTATGAAATGATACTGGATGCTTCGCCTTACTTTATGCTCAGCCTCAGGCTAGAAAGCTGCCTTTTTAAATGGGACAATAACCTCATCATTTTAATACTCTTTAGATCACAGAAAGCAAAGAGGACAATGAGTTTTTAGATCCCATTTCCCTAAATGCCCGGGAATATTTCAACATCCACCTCTGGCTGAGGTGCCGCTTGGCACTGGTAACTGCGTTTGTTTCACAGATTCGTGGCATCGGAATCCTGAAAGGTACTCTCTTAATGTTTTCATAATGGTTAACTTTATATAGGTGAGCAGGGTTTTATTGGATACATTTTATTTTAATATTCACATTTTATAGCTCTCTAGCTTCTTTTTCAGAATTTAAAATACAGGTTATTAAAATTGTAAGAAAAATCATTTTCCCACAGTCTTCTATCAGTGCAAGTGGCATATGTCACTTATTTATGCAAAGCAGCACAGAGATTTCAAAACACATATGCCCAGGTTTTCTTGTAATCAGGAAGGTGTCTAAACAGAGCCAAAGTGCCACCAACACAGGGTCTAGATGCTAGATCTGCCCATCACTTCCAAGTCTTCCTCCTCTAAGTTTCTCCTCTCACTGTTCTATGTTCTGCTCTGGAAGATGGAGATAGATTTTCTGCTTGCCAAGATTATTGTCAGAGTGGAGGGAATAAAATACATTGTGTTAGATAAGAGCTTGGCATGCATAAATGGTAGCTCCTGCAGTGATCAGTAATTACCTAGTTATATACCTATTTATCTGTTTCTGTCCATCTTCCACATTAAATCATTTCATGTAATAACATTACTTTGATAGCACTGAAATATCATAAAGTAACTTCCCTGAAATTATAATACATTTTTCTGTGTTTAATGTGGTCTATTTGTTTTCTTTCTCAATGTCTTTTTTTTCTTTGATCATTGTGGACATTATATTTTTTTTCTTACTTTCTTAAATGATCATACTTACTTATGTTAGAGAACAACATGACAGACTCTTTGAGCCTCATCAAGGAAGTGTGTGAGGAGGCAAAAAGTGCAGATGACACAGAGCTCCTAGCTGAATTCCTGATGCAAGCCGTGATCCTCAGCCTCCAGGAAAAGCACTTAAAGGCAGATATCATAAGAAACCTTCAGGTAAAGGAAACCTTGTTCACATGTACATTTAGGAAAGATAGCCCAATTAGATCAGAAGAAGGGAATTTTCAATCCCATTGGATGCTTACCAGAAATCATGGCCAGAGCTCATCAATGAAATGGACAACATACTCTCAGGTGGAATTATTTTATCTCAATAGGAAATAATCCATTTGTTGAAAGGGAGTGAATTCCTTTCTCCTCGATCCCGGTTAACCCTGGCAAAAAGCCTCATTCTACTGGATGACTTAACGAAAGCTGAGAAATTTAAGCAAGCCTCTTCAAAAGCAGAAAAACCCATTTTGTTGACTCAAGCTCACAGCATTCTTATTGAGCAGGTTGGAAAGCTTTTAATGGTCTCAAACTTGAAGTGTACTTTTCTGCCATTTTTCTCATCCCTCACCACAATGACTGATTGCCTACTCTGATGTTTCTTTCATAGATGCTAACTTTTGGAGAGACAGTTGAATTCCCTTTATCAAATACTGAGTATGCAAATCCATTACAGCCTTTGAAAAACATCTATCTTCCTCATGTCATGTTACTGGCCAAAGCAAAAATGAGACTTGGTAAGAACTTTTAAACATCTTCTGCACTAGACAAACTAGATAAAATTTTAATTTCTTTTCAAGTAAGCTATCATCATTTAAAGGGGCAATAGTATGAATGCTCAGGCACCACATACTTAACAAGTAGAGATTGCTTTCAGGTGCCAGACTCATGGTATCCATATGGTCTTCATGTATAAATAATGAGGTTGACACAGATTTGAAAGAAGAATATATAACGATGTATTATGTCCTTTGGATTATTAATGATGCTGTTAATGCCTTTATCTTTTAAAACAAGGCCCATGAACAAAAGTAATCTTAATGTGCTGATGATAATGGTATGCATTTTTTCTAAGCCCTAATAACTTGTGTACAATATTGTAAGCAATAAACCTGTATCATAAATGTGGGACTCTGCAAAATTCATTTTGGTGTTTTAAAGGCACAGTTTCTGTGTTTCTCCATGATACATGTTAAATAGTGGATTTGCTGCTAAGAGCCTTTGGAATGCTGAGTGCCTGGGGTTGTGTCTAGGGAGCTTAAAACACACAGGGTATAGGCCACACTACCTTCTGCAGGCTGGAACCTTTGGGAATCTGATCAGTCCAGGCCCTACTCCAGTAGCCCAGTGCCTTACTCCAGGCTAAGGAGAGCAGCCTCTGCTCTTCTCTTGGCCTAGCTCAGCCTCTCAAATTCTCTCTCCTTCTCATGTATCTTCCACCCTCTGTATGCTGGTAGCTGGTAGCTCCCTGTTCCCTTTCTTTTTTTAGTATGTTAATATGGTTAAATATTTACCAGTAAAAAAAGCAAACAGACGACAGAGAAAAGAAAATAATCCCCTAACCCAAAGCTTCTTCCCAGCCCCTCAACACTTGGACATCTGGTCTCCTTAAGGGTGAATTCTATTCCCTGTGTTCTTCCTCACCCCTCTTTTACTCTGAATTCCACCTTATTTTAGATTTGGATACAGAAATCACCATTAACAAGGTCACCAAGGGGTTAATTACAACTCCAATGTGTTTATTCTTTTCTGATCTTGTCCATATGGATGGCTCAGTATCTGATGATGCTTACATCACTTGCAACTTCTTGACACTCAGATTTCATGACTGAGATTCCCAGGCATTGCGTGCTCCCTGTCTGGTTTCTTAATTACCTTCAAGTCTTCTATTCCCATAGCTTGTCCCTTAAATTAATGTTCTCCATCCTAGGGAAGGCTCCCTAGGGTGTGGTCCAGGCCACAGCCTAGGAATTCATTTTTGTCCTTTTCTTTGAACTATTTCTTCTCTTTTTAGAGAAACTGTATTCATAGTTCTTAGTATCTGATTGTAGTGATCCTACCACGGGGCAGGTGTTGGACTTTCCCTCCTTAGGTTTTCCTTCATCTCCTCTGTTTCTCAGTCTCTGTTTTGCTTCATGGATTGTTGATTGAATCTTTTTCCCCCTAATGCTTTCCTTGGCTGATATCCTGGTGTCTTCTCCAAAGCCTTGTTCTCTGCAAGTGCCTTTTCTGCACTTTGACAGGTGAATGACGTGCTGTCTTGGGCTGGAATCTTGGGATGTGGGCTTTTCTCCAGTTTCATAACGGTTATTCCATCATTTCTATTTTGAATGTTGCATGTGAGAACTGAAGTCCCAGTCTCATTTTCTTTTCTTTTGGTCAGAATTTTTTTCCTTCCAAGCCTGAAACTGTAAGATTACCCCGTCATCTTCGTAGTTCAGAAAATTTACGAACACACGTCTGGCTATATGTCCTTTCTTTCTCTGCTTAGAACTTATCTTTTCTTTCTCTACATAGAACTCAGCTGAGCCCTCAGAATCTGTAGGCAGGTTCCTTTCTAGCTCTGAGAAGATTCCTCTTGCTTAATTGTTGCCTGCTTACCTACCCCTTCTGTTCTTCCTTCCTTTTTGGCTGGAGCCAACCTCCCTCTTAAAATCTTAAGCATGTTACTTAGCTTTTTTGTAGTTCTCTCATTAAAAAAACAAAAATGTCTCAACCCAGTGACCTAAGTTACCCTAGACCTGCTAGTTTATAAATAGTGGACATCTCTGGTCTCAGCTCTGGAGACTGGGACTCCAGGATCAAGGTCAAGTATCTGAAGAGGAAGTATCTGTTTCATGAATGGTACCTTCTATTGGACCTTACATGATGGAAGGGGAAACTGGTTTCTTCAAGCTGTTATGTAAGAACATGTGTCCCATTATTAAGGGCTCTGCTTTTGTGGCCAGCCAAAGTCTGTACCTCTAGATACCAACATTGCTGTGGAGAGTGGATTTCAACATATAAATGGAAGAGCACACACATTCAAGGAATAGTGACGTCACTCTGCTTGTAGAAGGTTAAACGAGGAAAACACCTAGGCCAGTACAGGACCATGAACACAGCTGTTGTCGACATTTGGCTCTGTCTTTGACATCTATTATCTTTCTCTTAATATTCTCATTATTTATATCATTTATATAAGGTGGATCTATTTGATCTTCCTAATCACAAATTAAGATTTTGGCATTGACTATCCTCCCAAATCATCTGATAACTTTATATTTCTAAATAGGCTCAACTGTAGGTAGGCATGCATGTGTTTTGCGTTGCCATCCTACCCTCAATCCATTTTATTTCAGCAATGCCACCTTTCTTAGAAGCTGTGTTTGCTCTTCCTTTGCTGGCTGCTGGCTCTCTGCGGGGCCAGTGTCATGCAGGTCCAGGTGGCAATGCTGTCAATGCTGGTCAGAAGAACAAGTTCTGCCACCATGGGTTGGCTCTGTACAACTTTTTCAGAGTCTTCATTCCCTGTTGAGGCTCTGGGAGAAACAACAAAAACCAGCGAGCATTTTTTTTTTTTTTTTTTTTTTTTTTTTTGAGATACCCGGGAACACAAACCTTAATCACATACAGCTCCTGGTAGTCGCCATTACCATCTCAGAAACCAACAAATTTGAGCTAGAATTGTGCAAAAACAAAAAGCTAACAAAGACAATCTACAAACTACCAACAGTGACATAAAGGCAGACTAAAGGGCCTATGTAGTGATTGCCAGTTTAGTCTCAAAAAGAAAGTCAATATCCTGACTTTATCAGCATTTTCTTTCTAAAATAATTTATACAGAATATAAAAGCATACAAACGTATAAACAGAAGCAGTGATACATAAAGTCTGGAAGAATACCTTACTAACTAAAAAAAGATTTTTTTTAAAAAGATTTCAATGAAATAAATTAAAACCTCATACTTTCAAGTTTTCCTAGACTATTCTTTTAGCAGATGGCATGGAGTTAATATATTTCTAATAATCATTTGGTTGAGACCAAATACCAAAATGCCTTCACACACACAAACTTTGCCTTTAAAACCCATGGCTCCATTGGCAGTTATTTTGAACACAGAAGAAACCAAATGAATTAGTCTCCCAAATTCTAACCAGTAGCTTGTATCATCAAACCATTAAGGCATTTTATTTACTAACTTGGCTGTTGAAACAGTATCTCCCCCAAACAAATGCTTCCTTTACTAGCATCTAAGGAAACTACAATATTGGTACACAGAAAGATACTGTGTTTAGGATACAAGATAATGCTAATCCAATAAGCCTGCGAACACTTTTAAGCTTAGGGGGCCAGAGGACTCAGATCATTGTTGGGTCCCTCTTGCAAAATCCAAGGGCAGCTGGCTAAAGCTGCCTTTCTCCAGGCATCTCACACAGATATCCCTTCAGGCTCTCTTCAAGTGCTGTCTCTGATCTTTGGCAAAAGCTTTCTTGCTTTTGTTTCTCAGGGCCTTTCTAGCTCAGAGAGCAGAAAGCTGGCATCAGCTCTATTGTCTTCTATCACCTTCTAGAACCCTCCTGGCCTTCCTACCAGCAGCTGCTCAGCCAAAGAATGGTGGTGGGATTGGGTCGAGAAAGGGAGGGTCGAGAGCACGTGTTCAAGGTACCAATCTCTCCAGAATCTTCTGCCTTACTTCCCCTCTCCTTCCATTCATTCTCAGGACTGATCACTAGTATGTGACCAGCTTTCCTCATTGATGGAATTCCTTGCAGCTCACTGATCTCACAAGAGCCATGCAACTACCCCCCCAACACACACTTTTAGTTTGCAGTTTGTTGTATTATTAGGACATTTGATTTCTGCATGAGCTCAAAGCACAGATTGCACAAAATTAAACCATGCACCCTCCGCTTTTCTGACTTACTAATCTTGAAGATGTGTCACCACTCAATGACAATGCTGTTCCTGCTTTTTAGATTCATTTGAAGCTGAACAGCTTGCTTTCTGGTATATTATATTAAATACAGACTTTAAAAACAAAACCAAAAGCACCCTTTCTGTCAAAACAATGTCAATTTCACTTCTTTTTCACAGAGTTGGTGTTTACTAGAAAAAGGAACTCTTCAATATTGTGAAGCACAAAAGCATCTGTGACTAGCTTTTGTGTCAGCTTTTCTTTGTAGTGTAGATTACATCACAAGAGTACAGCCACGTACTCTTTTTCCCCCCTTGTGATAGCTTCTGATGAAAATAGCATCTTGAAGTTTTTTATTAAATAAAATCAAGCATACTGAGTATCTAAAGCCATTTCCACATTAGTTAGCTTGCCTTGAGCCTCCTTCTTACTTACAGATTATAATAAATTGTAGTGAATAAAAGGTACTTGAATTCCTTACATTCTTTCAATCAGCCAACACTTATTGAGGACCAACTGGGCATAAGAATGATGCTGAGGAATGGGAACAAAATTGGGATATCAGTGTCATCTCTTCCCTCAAAGAACCTTTCATCTACTTGGTGAGGAGATTCTATAACAAGTATAGCTTTAGCCAAAAGTCTAGAAGATAATTTGATAACTATAATTACACATTTTTGCTATATTATATCATACTAATATATATTACATGCATATAGTATGTGCCGCGATGACAGGAAGATGCTTGCTATGTATGTTTTCTGCTAATAAACAGCTTTTGTATAATTTGAAAAAGTAAGTGAAGCATATAAAAACAGGAGAAATATTGAAGTTGCTTTTCCTTCTTGTCTGAGTTCTAATTGCAGTTGGTAATGGATGGGGGCAAGAGTGTGGGCTAGAAAAAAGGGGCTTTTTAATTTAATTTAATTTGGTAGAATTTCATACATGAGTATTGTATTTGTATCATTTCCACCCCTCCCTGGTCCCCTCCAACTCCTCCCATGCCCCCCACCGACTCCCTCTCAATTTATTGCTTTCTTCTTTATTATTGTTGTATATGCATACATATATTTATAAAAATACATCTCTCTCTATATATATGCATAGAATAATGCCATGAGTCCATTTTGTGGTGCTTCTACATATATGTATTTAGTGCTAACCACTTGATTAGATAGCCTATCGGGAGCTAGTCCCTAGAGAAAACTGATTCTTCCTCTCTCAGCATCCGTTGATTGCCTGTAGCTCTTCATCTAGAGGTGAGACCTCATGAAATTTTCCCCATCCACATTAGCATGGCAACTGGTTTTGTCATTATGCAGATCTTGTTTTACTACCATATTATGGAGAGGTCACAGGTCCAGCTTCCCTATCACATCTAGAATTATCTAGCAGCAAATTCAGCAAGTGCCTTGTTCCTCTGCCTCTTACAATCTTTCTGTGTCTTCTTCCAGATGGTCCCTGAGCCTTAAATGTAGAGGCTGCATTGTAGGTGTATCAGTTAGAGCTGGGCACCCCACAGTTACTTTTTCTCTTTATTTTGGACAGTTGTGGAACTTTGTAATAACCTCCATCTGTTCCAGAAAGATGCTTCCTTGATTAGTGGTGAGAGCTACACTTGTCTGTGAATATACGAATATGTATTTAGAGTGCTGTAAGAAATTATCTTGATTTAGGAGAGTAACAGTAGTAAATTCTTCTATAAGGTCTTCAGGCTCTCTAAACATGTGTACTTGGCTGTGTTTTCAGTACCACACATGAATTTCCTCCTACTGAGTAGGCCTTAAGGCCAATCAGACAACTGTTGATCACCCCCAAGATAAAAGTGCCACTATTGCACCAATAGGAATATTTTGCTAGGTCAGTCATTGCCATGGTTTGTAGGTTTTACAGCTGGGTAGGACCATTGATTGATCTCTGGAGAAAAAGTTTTTGTTCAATTCTGTTGAACAAGTCATTTAACTTACCTGTGTTTCTGTTTCTGTCTCAGGAAATGAAGTATCAATGTCTGTAGCTAGTGGGGTGTGCAGTGTGTTTAGAAGGTCACCTAGCTTGCTGCAGAGCTTTGTAGGTGTTAGCTGCTCTTAATGTTCCATGACTAAAGTCATCAGTGTGCTGTCATCTCGCCTGATCGAGAGTATTCTCCAGAGGCTGGAGAGATGGCTCAGTGGTTAAGAGTACTGACTGCTCTTGCAGAGGACCTGGGTTCGATTCTCAGCACCCACATAGTGGCTAACCCACAGGAATGGCATGACATGGGTGTACTCACACACATGCAAGCAATACACTCATACACATAAAGTAAAAATAATAGATTTAAAAAAAAGAGTATTCTCCAATCCTATACTGCCTTTTTGTTTATACTTCTTTTCTGTACATAGTAGCTATACTACCAATGCAATACTTCCCCTAGTTTTCTTCCACTCTTTATCCTAACAATTTGATTCTTTAAAATGACCAAAGGCAAGACCACTACCATTGGCCTAGATAAGTATGCTGACTAGGACCCTTCTCTGGTCTTTCCCAGATCTGGACATACCAGAGCTGTATCCTGCTCCCACAGTGCTGTGCAGTTTCTTGTCCATAACCAGCCACAAGCTATTTTCACTACTTATTTTGCTCTTTTATATTCTTGATTAATTACCAGTTCCATGACCTCAATCTTAGGATGCTGTATCGTGCTTTAAGGAGTGACCAATGGGGTCTGGCTGCTTTAGGTTCAAATCATGGCCATGTGACCTTGGGCAGGTAAACTTATAGCTCTTGAGTCACTCCTCTGAACTCTGTCAAATGAGCGTCATACTGATGCCCACTCAGAGTCCTGAATCACATGGGCCATCCACATTGAGATCAAGAGATGGTATCAGGCGCGCAGGAAGCAGTTAACAAATCTTAGTTCTTATTGCTCTCTTTCCCCATTTGTACCTAGTAACTAACACTTGGAAAATACTTGTTGAGTAAATATCTGTCTTTGTTTCCATGCAATTTAAGGAAAATGTTTCATCTATTCAACAATCCTTCATTGTATTCATTAAATAATGAAGGTCCCATGGATGGATGTGCACTGGGGGACGTCTGTGGACATTGACTTGACACATTGGGCCTTAATACTGATGTCAGAGTATAAGGTTCCAATGGGAGGCTGAGGGACTGGGAGTGTGTGCTGGTGGGGACAAGGGTATAAAGATGATTAAGATTCTTTGAGGTATTCCATATAACATGCACAAAAATTCAATGGAAAGAAATTAAAAATATATGGACTCAAAAAAAATAATGAAGGTCCCTAAGGGGCATGGCATATCTTTGTCCATTATAGGCTGGTTTATAGTTCTGATGAAAAAAGAATTCACGGGCTGGAGAGATGACTCAGTGGTTAAGAGCACTGGCTGCTCTTACAGAGGACCCAGTCGAGTCCCAGCACCCACATGGTGACTAACAACCATCTGTAACTCCAGTTCCATGGAACTGGATGCCCTCTTCTGACCTCCACAGGCAACCTCCACAGGCACTGCATGACACAGGTGGACTTACACACATGCAGGCAATACACTCATACACATATAAAATAAAAATAAATAAAATATTTTTTAAAGAAAAAAGAATTCCTAATAAGCAAGCACTCTATTTACTGGAAAGAAAATTACTGCCTATTTAATATTTAATGTATGCCAATTTTTCTATGAGCAACATGAAACTTCCAGATGTTTTTCTACTAATAGCTTTATCTTAAGAACATAGACTTTGTTTTATGGAGCATCGTGAAAAGATGAGAACTGTAGAATCTCAGGAGATTAGTGCTCATTTTAAAAATGAGAAATCCTATTGGAGTTTTATCAAAGATCAAATTATCGTTGTAATTCATCGACATAATGGGTATTGTGACTCCTTGAAACATTCTTGGAGCTGGAGTTCATCAATGGCGTTACTATGAGAGAAGTCTGGTGACTTGGGAGCTTGGTCTGAACACTTAGGATTGTGTGCTTTGCCGCACCCATCTTTCTCCTTTTAGGGCATACACTGGTCAAGCAGGTGTACCAAAGCAGCAAGAAGACAGATGTCATGAAGTGGCTGCCTCCTCTTCATCTCTTTGAGATGGCACTGAAGCTCTGCAAGATATCCGCGGCAGAAGAGTATGAGGTGGAGGCCGAAATCCTTTTCCAGAAAGGCAAGCTGTATTTGGGATCAGGACTATGATAAAGTGTGTAGAATTTATTAATTTATGAATAATCAACTTCTTTCTGATAAAAATACAGATTTTACAGAGCTTGATAGTTGCAGAACATGTTGATTTCTTCTGCAAATCTAGGTTTCAAATAAAAGAACTCTAAGATTATGTCTAGAAGGAAAAAGTACTTCTTAGTTCCTTTTATAATTATAATTTATAGCTTCACACAAAGTTTCATGTTTGGCTAAAAAAATGTCAGTATCAGTCACTTCATCACACATGATGTGCCTGGAGAGATGGCTCAGCGTTAAGAGCACCATACTGTTCTTGCAGAGGACCTGAGTTTTGTTTCTAGCACACAACATCCTATAACTCCAGCTCCAGGGGATCCTCTAGTCTCCTCAGGCACCCCTGCACTTATGTGCACATACCCACACAGACATACATATATACATATAATTGAAGAATAAAATATCTTAAAAATACATACTTATTGGGGTTGGAGAGATGGCTCAGTGGTCAAGAGCACTGGGCTGCTCTTGCAGAGAACCTTGGTTTGGGTCCCAGCACCCACATAGTGACTCACAACTGTCCATAACTCCAGATCCAGACCCTTTTATGCTTCTGTGGGCATTTCACACACGGGTGCACTTATTATGTACATGAGGCAAAACACTTATACAGATGAAATTAAAACAAATAAATTTAAAAAAATTAATAATAATGATAAAGTTAATTGCAATTATTAATCAAAATAATAAACAATGCTTTATTATTAAATGATAATTTTTTGCTATCTCATTCCGAGTTAAACATTTTGGTTAATGTCTGTAAGTTAAATAGTTGTAGAGTGCATGCATTTAGAACTTACAAACATTGACTGTTTATATAATACATTAATATAATTTTACTGTGGCCATTTTAGCTGCAAGAAAAGCAAAAGGTAATGATTGCTTCCTTTTTGAGCACCTACAAGATGCAAAACATGCAGTCAGTGTTTAACATCTCATATTGTTCATTCTTACAAGAGTGCTCCAAGGTGGGCATGAGCAATCCTGGTTGACAAGGGAAGAGAACAAACCTCAGTAGCTGCTGTGAAAGTGTCCAGATGGGGGAGCTCTGTGCTGGCCAGCTCTGGGCACGTTCCCTCCTGTTGTGTGAGAACTGTGGATCCTTCTCACAGTGGCTGGAAGATTTCCCTTCCCTGACTTTTCTGCCACAGAGAAGCTCTCTTGGTTCCTGAAGAATGAGACTTGCCATGATTTGGGGGAGCTAAATAAGGGATGGACCATTGACATCATCCCTAAGTATTTTCATGCATTTGATGGCTTTTTAGTTTGTTTTTATTTTTAAAAATTAAAAGTGAGGGGCTGGAGAGATGACTCAGTGGTTAAGAGCACTCCTTGCAGAGGACCTGGGTTCAATTCCCAGCACCACATGGCAGCTAACAACCATCCACATAGTTTCAGGAGCTCCAAGGCCCTCTTCTGATTTCTGAGGGCATTGCATGACACAGTGCACTCACATACATACTGGTAGTACACTCATACACATAAAATTAAAATGAATAAAATATTTAAAAAATTAAAAATGAACTTACATCAATGGTGACAACATGCACAAGACCCATGCAAATTCAATCAGATAGAAAGTAACATAGACCTGGGAAAATGGGCAGGAGACCCCAACCTTAGCTTAGGAACTATTGGTAGCTGATCACTGCTGGGTGAGGGAGAATTGATCTTCTTTAAAGGAGTCACACTGGATAGGCTGAACAGGCTCTCTCACACAGAGAGACAGTTGGATACACAAACTTGACTCCATAGGCTTTAACATATAAGACAGAATGTGTGAAATCCTGTGGGTGGGATATGGGGGGGTGCAGATAGGATAGGTCTAAATATGATTAAAATGTACTGTAAAAAATCCACAAAAATTCAATAAAATATTCATTGAAAAAAATTTTAAATTAATTGTCAAATATTAATGTTTGTGCAAATGTGTACAATGTGGGATGATTAAACCAAGCTAGTTAAAGATATCTAAATATATCATTTTATTTTGTGTTGTGAGCATTCAAAAAAATCTTTCTTGGCAATTTTTAAGTCTATAGTACATTGTGATTAATTACAATCACAAAGATACATGCTAGATCACTGCGTTCTAGTATTCATCCTGAGCTTTTACCCACGACTCCATGGTTCTCATCTCTCCATGTCTTGACAACTATCGCTCTACTTTCCAGAGAGTGAGTGTGACTTTGTCAGCGTTCATGTAAGCAAGACCGTGCAGGCCCTTCTGTGCCTGGCTTCTTTCTCTTAGCATAATACCCCAGGTTCCCATGTGTAAATGACAGCATCTCCTTTTTATGTATAATATAGTCCATTGTGTATATACACCACTTTTTAAAAATCCATTTAGCCACTGAAGAACACTTGGGCTCAGCCTGCCTCCCGACTGTTGTGAATGATGTTGCAGTCCACATAAGGATGCAACTGTTTTCTTTGTTTTTTTTTTTTTTGTGAAATAGACAAGGGAAAGAGCAAAAATTGTGGGGAAGAAAGGAAAGGGAGATATTGGATGAGGGAGAGTCACAAAGGAAGGAGCAGAGAAAGGTAGCTTGGTGAACGGGCTGTGTTCGGAAGCCAAAGGTGTCTTGGCTGAAGGCATTGCTGACATCCTGGTGAAGGAAGTTCTTCCAGTTTCATGAATTTCTAGCATAAAATATTTGTTTTTCATTCTAAATTATAAAAATGGAAAACAATCTTTATTTTTCTTCTTTCAGGCAGAATAGAGCGTCAGTTACTGATGGAGGAGGAATCTACAGTTTTACAAGTGGAGAGTTTTTTTGAAGCTATCCAACTAAGTCTGAGAAATGATCAAAACTCAGGGTAAAAACATTTCATGGTTGTAGTAATAGCCATGGTTGATTTGAGCTCTGTGTTGTGGTCGTACATGGGTGAGTCAAGACAGAAGTGAATGAGAGACATCTTCATGACAAGGCTCATGCACTGGGATCCACCTGTCCAGCAGGTTTACTAACTTGCTTTTATGACCTAAGGTCTCCTTAACAGAAATGGAGGGGCAGCACCCCTTCATCATAGTGCTATTGTAGACTGAACTGAGTCTCACCTGAACCCAGAGCTCCTGTCAATCTCAAGATTGTGCAGGCCTCCTCTGGACTCTTTCTTATAACCATAGGATCCCACCTCAGTGTGAAAGTGTATAGAAAAATTTATGTGAATAGCCTCTGTAGCTGCCAATGCCCAGTTCTAGCCTGCTTAATTCTGTGTAGAAATTACCTCAGTATTAAGGGAAAGCAGTGATCCAAGTGGCCACAACTGATGTATTTGATAGTAAATATGCAGATCTAACCTATACCATTATTACTTTCTGTTGAATTCTCTGCCTCTTTCAATTTTAATGACAAGAGGAGGGTAGACAGAGGGCTGTTTCCAAGGATGACTCTGCCAGTCTTGACCATTCCTTCTTTAGGTGTTGATGCTAAGCGTCATAGGAGTCGTGGCATGGGGTGACACCAGCACAAAAGCAAGCAAAATACTAAGCTCTCTTCAAGAGGTTCCCAGTACAGATAGGAAGATTCTAGTATCTGTGACCAAAAGTACCAATGAAGAGACAGGCACTGGCTTTGCCTATTTTTACCTTTCACTGTTCCAGATGTTGTTAATGATGCAAAGAGGTTGCACAAGGCTCTGTAAGTCTAATGTTATGTCATGTTTAGGTTGATAAGAGATTCCTACCTTGAGATTGCCCTGATGTATTTCCATCTGAAGAAGCCAAAGAAAAAGATTTCAGCAACACCATCGTCACTTAAGGTAATAGCTGCATTGATTAGAAATTAGAAGTTAATTGCCTTTGATCTTGCATTTCAGTAATACTTGCTGTTGAAATAATGAGACATTTTCCTATGTGACTCGAAGCAGTCAGCTCATTACTTTGTAGTCACACTTGTACTCAGATGCCTCTTTAGGCATTTTAGATACAGCTCTGGAAATAGATATCATTTAGGTATTTTTTTGCTTGTTAAAATGTTATAGATGAGACACTGGTTATATAAATATGCAAAGGCAGTGCAATTAATGTTTAGGAAAATGTAGGAAATGGTGTGTTAGTTAAACAAATGGGCAAATAATGTTTTTGAAAATTGACATGACCTGATAGCCATTCATCTTTCACAGATCTATCAAGCACCAGCCAGTCTTCTAGAAGGAGATGCTAAACCAGTGTCCAAGATGAGCACAGTTCTCATGGAGCTTACCTTCCAGAGGAGGGAAACAGACCAAGTCAGCAAAGACAGGATGTCAGAGGAAGAAAGTTGGGAGGAAACAAGGGAGAAAGAAGAGGGGAAAAGGGCCCTTTGGTAGTGAAATTTAGGATGAGGAAATCATTTGGGTTGGTGGAACTGCAAATGCAGGTGGAGGGATAATATGACGACGTGAGGAGAGAGCTATGCAGGGTCACAGAGTGATGCACAGTCCTCAGCAGTGCTTGCAAACTAAAGTACAGACACATCCTCAAACATCTTGTGAAAGGCAGCTAATGACTTGGTTAGTTAGAGATGGGGCCTGAGGCTTGGGGTTTCCTACAACCTCCCAGGCATTGCCAATGCACGCAGTGACACTGAGGTACCAAGGGTCTTGACTAAGGGAGATTCTCGTGGCAGGAATAAGCCAGGTTGCTTTGATTTGCATGAGTCTAGTGCTTTTATTGTTTGGATTCTGGTAGTCTCTCATATTTCATCTTTATTGAATAATCATTTAATTCTGCATGAGACCTTTTTAGAAAATACTATAATCAACTCTCTAATTTTTGAGGTGTCATAAACACGATTTAAAACCTTTAGTCAATTGAATTAGGTGAGTGCCACCTATTTTTTAAATAAAAATGATTATAAATTCGGAAAGGTTACTTTGGTGGTATGATAAAATGTTAATTGCTTGTAAGGGAAAAATATGTTTTGTATCCACAGAAAGCAGCACTACAAATTAACAAAATGGTAGGAAATCTCATATTACTTTTTTGGCTTGTGTTAGAGAAGTGTTTATAATAATGAACATGGAATGGAATTTGAATGTAAAAGTAGTAGAAATTCATAAAATATAGTCAGTATTTTCTTTGTATCTTGACATAGTATAAATATTTTAGTAAGTTACAAAATTTCTAGAAACACAAAATCGACTGAAACAAATGCTTCTTACATTCATTGAGACATATTCAGATTATTGAAATATAACACTTGGAATTTTTTCTAATAAAAATCAACACTAAAACTTAAAAAAAAACTCAGCAGAGTTGGGGTCAGCAAGATGGCTCAACAGGGAAAGGTGCTTGCTGCCAAGTGTGATGACCTGTGTTCAATCCCCAGGACTCACATGGTGGAAGGAGACAACTGAGTCTTGTAAGTTGTCCTCTGAGCTCTGTGTGTGGTGGGATACACACACACACACACACACACACACACACACACACACACACAGATACTCACACACACGCACACCATAAACAAAAATGTAAAGCAAACCAAAGCAGTACTATTGTTTGACTGTTAGTAGTGTGCACGCAGCAAATCTGGGGCTGTGTCGTATCTTCTTGACATATGAGCATATTTTGGGGCCTTTTAAAAGACTTATTTCCTTACCTCTGACATGGACATATTATACATGGATTTTAGGGTGTCTGGGAGAATGAACAAGGTACTGGGCATGCATGTATTTAGGTTTCATAACTTTATGTAACTTCAGTCAAATATCTATATTCTTCATAAAGTATTTTAGTTGATATCCAATTATGATTTGCTAAGTTTCATTGACTGTTTCTTGAACATTTCTTCATGAATTCATTAAGCAAATATTTTTGAAGGGCTTAATGTAGTACCAGACACAGTCTTCACGTCCCCTAAGTTACCCAGTGTCTAGCAAGGGAGAGACACAATTGAATGACATTTAACAAGGGCCATAAACACAATATTCCAAGGTGGAGATGAGGGACAAAGTAATTCTGCTTTGTGTGAAAGCCAGAGAAGTCTCAGATGAGTGCATTTTGAAGAAAGTGTAGAATTTTTCAAGTAGTTAAGTAGGAGAAAAAGATTTCAAAAGGGAGGATCAACATGAAAACATTTTAATAATACTTATTGAAGTATAATTTCTATCCAAGAAACTAACCCATTTGAAAACTTAAGTTTACATATCTTTCTATTTATTTAGTTACCTAGTTAATTTTTGAGACACGGTCTAGTTATATAGCCCAGGTTGCCCTTGAACCTGTGAGCCTCCTGCCTGAGCCTCCTGAGTGCTGGAATTATAGGCTTGCACCACCATACCTGGATAAGACTGAAGTTTAGAGTTATGTAACCATCACCACCATCCAGTGTTACAACATTTCAATCCTCCCTGTGAAGATCCTTTCTCCCCACTTGTAGTCAGTCCTTTGTTCACCTTTAGCCCAACATAACCGCGTTCATTTCTATAGATGGGACTTTCCTGGATAGTTCCTATAAATATAACCCTACAGTAGTCACTGTTTTTGTACATATTTCTTTTTCCCTTGTATAATCTTGAACTTCACCCAACTGTGGCATGTGCCAATAGTTTGCTTCTTTTTATTGCTGAGATTTTCCTAGGATCACTATTTAAAGTACAAGTTCTTTATCCATCCAATGGCTAGTTGGCATCTGAGTTCTCTCCACTGTTTTGGACACTGTGATTAATATTTCTTTGACATTGCATGTACATTCTGGTGTGGAAACAGTTTTACAGTTTTTTTGGATACACTCTTAAGAGGGGAGTAGCTGGACCACATGAAAAATCTGTGCTGAACCTTTTCATGATCTGCCATATGGTGGATAGGGACAGATTTTACTGTCTTCCGAAGTGTCTTACAATTCTGCACTCCTTCTGATTTCTCCATAGACCATTCCAGTGGATATGAAGTAATGTCTAATTATGGTTTGTTTTGCATTTAAGTGATAGCTAATGATGCTGAGATATTTTTATGTGCCTATTGGTCATTGCACTCTTCTTTGGGGAAATGTCTATTCCAATCCTTTGCCTACTTATAAATTAGGTCGTTTGTCTTTTTATCATTGGGTTGTGATAGATTTTAAAATCTATATATATATTCTAGATACAAGTCCCATATTGGATATATGATTTGCAAATATTTTCTCCCAGATGGTAGCTGGTCTTTCCATATAATTAATATGGTGTTAGAGATAAAAAGTTTTTAATTTTAATGAAGTTCAAGTATGAGTTACTTTTATTTTGTAGATTGTGATTTTAGCAGCAATCTAGGATCGTTAGCATTTCATCGATCTTTAAGTCCACCTTTACTGTCTTTGTCACTGTGGCTTTGGTAGATTTCAAACTGGAGAGTGTGCTCTTCATTTCAGATCTGCTTTGGCTATTTGGAGACCTTTGCATTTTCTTATGATTTTTTGGACTTGTTTCCCAATTTCTGCAAAGAAATAAAATGGATTTTTGTGATATTGTGTTCAATCTATAGAATAATCTGGCGACAGTTTGTCCTAACAATATTAAGACTTCAGGAGTATGAATCATCTCTTCATCTATTTAGATGTTAGTTAATTTCTTGCAGTGATGCTTTGTATTTTTCATACATATTTCTATTGTGAATGAATTTATTATTTCCATTTCCAGACTGTTTGTTAGGGTATAGAATTTTATATCTTGTGACCTCACTAACCAGGTTTGTTGAGTGTAATAAAGTGTGTGTGTGTGTGTGTGTGTACATCTCTTAGGCTGTTCTGCATACAGGATTATATCTTCTGCAAACAAATACTGTTTTTATGTCTTCTTTTCCAATCATTTACATTTTTCCCTTTTTATTACTGTTTGGGCTATGCAATGTTTGACACCTCCCCCCATCTTCAAAAGAAAGCTCTGGGGCTGGAGAGATGGCTCAGTGGTTAAAAGCACTGGCTGCTCCAGTACTGTCAGCATGCACAAGACCCGTGCAAACTTAGGCAGAGAAAAACCCAGCACAGAACTGTGGAAGTGAACAGCAGGCCCTAATCTTAGTTGAAGAATTATTGGCAGCTGATTACTGCTGGGTGATGAAGAGTTGATCTTCCTGAAGGGAGAGACTCTAGATAGGCTGACTAAACCCTGCTGGATGAACTTGTACTGAGGGACATAGTGGGCCCTAATACAAATGACAGAATGTATGAACTCCAGTGTGGGGGGAGCTATGGGAGTTGCCAAAGGGGAAGGGGGGAGAGGGTATAAAGAAGGGGGAAGAGGGTATAAAGGTGATTTTATGTATGAAATACACAAAAATTCAATAAACTTTTTTTAAAAAAGCACTGGCTGCTCTTGCAGAAGACTCGGGTTCCGCAGGCATAGCATGACATGGGTGCACTTACATACATTTAGGCATAACACTCATACACATAAAATTAAAAATAAATTAATAAATAAAAAAGTCCCAAAGCCACCATGTTCTTTCACCAATCCAGATTTTTTCTCCCATTTTGAGCCCAACTCTAGCCTTCTCAGTAGTTTCCTTCTGAATTAAAAGTGGCTTCTTTTCTCAATGCCCAGGTCACTAACTGTCCTCACCTTGCAGGTGTTTAATCTTAATATGTATTCTTCATTTTGTGCCTGTTAGTCTTGTTTTCAGAGTTTCAGTGGGTAAGTTTCTCATGCTTAGTAAGCTATGCATTGCTACCCCAGATCCTACATAGTTCCCCTGCAGCCAATGTTCCTGCCTTTCTTGTCTTGAGCAGAGCTGTGTTGCTCAGCCCCCATAGGCAGCTCTCCAAGGTGTCTTTTCCTTCAAGTTTGTCACTTGTTTAGGCTGGCCACATTTACCTGTTGTACCCACTGCCTCAGCATCCCTGGTATTTGGGAGCATCCCTGGTATCCAGGACTTCTCCCCAGCCTTCTAGATGTAGGTAAAGAGGTGACGTACTTCTTGTTACTGTTTGTTTTTAATTCTGCAATTTTCTTGAAGCTCAAAGAAGTAAGCACATCAAAAAACTAAAAGCCAAGCATGGTGGTGTATGCCTTTAATCCTAGCACTCGGGAGGCAGAGGCAGGTAGAGCTCTGTGACATTGAGGCCAGCCTAGTCTACATAGTGAGTTCCAGGACAGCTGGACCCTATCTCAAACAACAACAATAACAACAACAATAAAAACACAACAAAAAACAAAAAAACAAATAAGCAAAGAACTACTAAAATGGAATTTGACTTCATTTGAAAAGACATTTCTATGAATGTATGTCATGTAAGCTCATTATAGAAAACTAGGGAAAAAATTACCAAAATAATGTAGCCACTCTTAAAACTTGGTACATTTACTGCTTTTATGTATAGTAAGTAATACATGTGCACCTTTTTTACAAGTTGGATGATCATACTTTGTATACAATTTTGTTACCTAAGTTTTCCATGATATATTTTAAATGTCTCTTCTTGGCAATAACATAGTATTATCCTTAATGGATATATAGTATTTCACAAAAATGTTATCTACAGAAGATGGGAAGATTTGTCAAGACACATCATGGTATCTTTATCATAAAACTTTCCTTTTTTAACTATTTTAGCCTCTTCCGAGAAGGCATAGTTCTATTAAGGAGCCAATAGCAAATAGATTTGAAATGTGCAGTTCATTGGCCTGGATTGCAATAAGAGCTGCTGCACAGGTTGGTGTGATTTCTGTTCACTCTTTCTGTTGTCTGTGTTCTCCATCAATGGCAGCGTGATGTGTCTACATAAGAGAAAGGCCATGTTCAGATTTGTATTTGTCATATTGTTTGGAAATACTGGAAATAGTCTATACGTGTGGTGTTTTTAATCTCTATTAACCAGACATGACTGTTTCAATTTTTCTTTAATGAAATGTTGGATATACATATGTACCTATTTGACATTTTGGCAATACCTATCACAGCTAGGTGAGGTAGCTTATTTAAAGTGGCCTGTATATTAATTAAATTGTCAAAACTAACTGATGTGTCTGAATATGATGCATATTCTACATGTCAGGGGTCACAATTTTTTTTCAGATAATCCTCATCTTTTTTCCTCCAAATACAGATTGGATGTTATTTTATGAGTTCCCTTTTTCATGTGAGTTTCACTGTCTGTTTGTATTGTGCTGCTATAAGAGAACAGTATACCCTAAATAGTTTGTAATAAACATGGATTTACTGACTCACAGTTCTGAAGACTGGTGGGTCAAAGATGAAGAGCAAGAGTGGGAAGAAAACAGGGAGACAATTTGTTCCCCATTCCCATGATCACTTAGCATGCTTAAGGCCAAAGTTGTCTTGGCCGATCACCTCTTGAAAATTTCCACCTCCATGTACTGCCACAGCGAGGTCAAGTTTCCAGCACATGAACTTGGAGTGACATAATTAAACTAACAGAGAATATATGAGTCAGAGAGCTTCTATTTATGAATTCTAATGTATGTATTACAGGTCAGTGAAGCTGTGCTGGCAATCAAACTACTGATTGGAAAGAAAAATGCTAGAACTGACAAAGTTAATCACATGGCATTACCGAACATTCCAGAATTTGCCACTGTGGATCTTTTGTCTTCATATACAGATTATTTGCTTGGTAGGTTTTAATGTCTGAATATTTTTTGCCAAAACTCTCTATGTAGAATATGCATCCAAGTTTTGAAGATTTCATTATTGTGGTTTGCTGGCTGTCAAGTTTTTTGTCAAGTTGACACAAACTAGAGACACCTGGGAAGACAGAACCTCAGCTGAGGAATTTCTTCCCTCAGACTGACCTGTGGGCCTGTCTGTGGGGCATTTCCTTGATTGCTGGTTGATGTAGACGGCCCAGCCCACTGTGGGCAGTGCCATTCCTGGGTAGGTGTGCCTGGGCTTTATAGGAAAGCGAACTGAACTGTTATGGAGTTCAAGACCACCGGGAAAAGACCACCAGACCCAATTCAGATTTTAATTAGCCAAATTTTATTGCTGTGGCAAGACTGACAGTCTCCAGAGGCTGGATATGGGACTGCAGGGAGGCTGGGAGGGGACAGGAAGCTTTCTTAAAGGCAGAAACCACAAGCAGTTATAAGACAGTGGGGTGACACTGACCTTTAAATATAGAAACTTTTTTGTAGCAATAAGCAAGTTTACAGAAGCCAAACAAGCAACTGTTAGTCATTTTCTTAAAAGATGTATAGAGACCTTGACAGTAAAGAGCTTTCTGATTATTATTATTTAAGCATATTACCAAGAAAGACAGGATATTGTTTTGGTTAGTTCCCTTGGCTAGGCAAGACACACGGCTGCAGTGTCTTAGAAAAACACTCCTCTAAGGGGAAGTTACTAGGTTCAGACCTGACCTTGAACTGACCGTTTGTCTAGCTTTTGAGTTTAAAGTGGCTGCCTTGTACAAAATGGAGTTGTAGTCACTGCAGAACAAGCCGGAGGAAGCAGCGTTCCTCAGTTTCTGCTTCAGTTCCTGCCTCCGGGTTCCTGCCTTGACTTCCTTACTTGACTTCCCTCAATAAATGTAAGCCAAATAAACCTTTCCTCCCTGATTTGGTTTTGGTCAGTGTGTTATCACAACGGAAAGTAAACTAGCACACTGGTCTTTAGCTTAGAGGAGATAATGGTTTAGGGAGTCTCCAGGAGAATAGGGGTTCCTAGTGCTAGTTTTCAAACAGAATGCCCTCAGCTTACAACCTGTGTACACATGTTACTGAGCTGGCTGCTGCATGCCAGGGTTCTGGGAATGAAAGTCTGTACATTTGTTTGTCTTATAGCCTATACATGTCAAGTGGTAACTTTGGAGGGAGGTGCTTGAGGGAGCTTCTCTGGTCTTTTGATCTAAAACATCCACCGATTCACACTCTCATAGTCTCCTTATTCTTAATAGTTACTTCATGTTCATGCTTATGTTTTGAGAGTGTATCTAAGATCTTTCATTCACTAAATGACCATCAGCCTCCTGAGAGTGGGAATTTCTCCTGTCTTATTTCATCTACAACAGAACACACACCATCACTTGCACAAGGCAGGTATCCAGTACTAATTGTTAAGTGAATTGATGGATGCTATGTAGGTAGAATTTAAGATTGCCCTTGCTATTTTTTATGACTTTTCCTTATTTATGATTCTCTACTTAGTAAACTGTAATAAAAACCTCAGCAGTAATGTATTTAACATTCATTTATGTGTTTGTTTATCCATCTGTTAAAAATATTTATTGACTGCTTTAATGTACTAAGTATTTTAGGTGCTCAGAAGCAAGGCCTTAGATAGTTCAGTAAGATTAATGCCTGAGGTTTTTTGGTGCAAGCTGAGCATTGAGCAGAACAGAAGAAAATCTTCCCTTTAACCTGACAAGGTGGCTGCATTTTACCAAAGCCTTGGGAACCAGCTTCTTCTGCCAAAGGCCCAAGTGAAACATTCACATCTCACATCACCTGCTTTCTAAGCTCCTTCCTGAGGATTCAGTTGCCAAGACTGTTTCCTGCCTACCTGTGGTTTGCTGAGGTTAAACCATTAGATGAACGTTTTACATTGAGACTTTTAATTTTTCTTTCTTTTGTGCTGGGAGACTTTTACCTCCTTGGATTTCTACACTGCGGCTAGGGCCTCTGTCTGGAAGCTCCCTCCTCCTTGGAGTCTAATAGATAAATTCCACAGAAATGATGCCTCCATGCATGCACAGGGCAATCTGGCAGCCAATAGCCGGGGGCTGCTCACCGTTTCTCATGCCTCATCCTGTTTTAAAGATTAAGATTCAAATGACCAGCATGACTATCTCTTCTTCCTGTGCCTTCTCATTAATCCTTGATGATGTGTCTACGTTAGTCATTTCCTTGTGCTCCACTACATTTTAGGGCAGGAAAAGACAATAAGCATCACCTGAGATGAACTCTAAACCTCCCTAGTGACTTACAGCTGCAAGAAATTCTTCTGGCGCTCTGCCTCAGGCTTCAGGTGAGCCTCTGCCCCAGGGCCCAGCCTATAGAGGTCATGGTTACCCGGGCATGCTCTGCTCAGGGCAGATGCCAGGGCAAGAGCCGTAGGTTTGGTCACAGTATGTAGGTTTGGTCACAGTATGCACTGCTCACAGGCATCTCTGCCTATCTCATCTTACTGCTCATAGCAAGTCATATGGCCAAGTTAAGTGTGAATGAGGTAAGGACATATGCTCTGCTTGTAGGAGAGAATTGGGTGGGAATGTTTGCTGAATGACAGTCTGCACTAGCACACACAATTGTGGCCTATGGCTAGAAGTTACCTGAGAAGAATTGTGAATCTCTGTACGGAAAAGCAGGAAAAGTTGCTGCCATGATAAATTAATGATATCTGCCATGGGCACGTGATGGAGAATATCATCCCCTAAACCAAATGGTATCAACCCATTCAACTGCATCATCTTCATTTTAGCTTAATACTAGAGCTTGGGGTTTCTTGTTCCACGTGGCAACTCTCCTAGCACATTCCGGTATTTTCTCTGACCACTAGCACTTCTTTACTATTTTAAATAAGAAAATTGCTCAGTTTGAGAGTCCAATCTGTTTTGCATTTTACCTCACCTAAAGAATAATAATGTTGCCCTCCAGTCTTTTCCTGGCAGGCTGGTAATTAATGCATGTTGATGACTTAGCTCACCAGTATTTGGGTTGGACGGAGGTTTTGAATTCCCACCTGATTGCCACAAATACACAGATGGCCATGAAGTTCATATTATAATGACTCGCTAAAGGGAAAAATCTCTTAACAACAAATAGAACTTGTTTGATTTTCTACTCATTACCATACATTAGCATCCAGAAGAAAACCTCACTAATCTAGCTTTAAGTAACATTAGCACTCATCTATATACAAGGTGATGAACAATATTCATTGTTTTGTGTGCAGAGCACTGTACCAGATATTTCTTTTCCCTTCCTCCTCCTCCCTTTCTCCCTTCCTTCCTTCCTCTCTCCCTCCTTTCCCATGCTATGTATAGAACCCAGGGTCTTAAGGTTGCTAAGTGTGTATTCCACTTCTACCACTGAGCTATACTCCCCAGCCCTGCATCCAAGGCTTATGCTCAGCAGGGAGAAGTCAACGTTTAGGCATACCAGGAAAGCAGATCCTGCCTTCCATGAGCTTCTGATCATGGGCAATTAGGACACAGATACTCCTTGAAATTATACAAATCCGTCTTTTATTTAATTAATTTTATTGTTTTATTTTTGAGACAGCATCTCCCTGTAGCCCCAGTTAGTTTGGAGCTCACTATATAGACCAAGCTGGCCTCAATCTCATAGAGATCTATGTGCCTCTGCCTCCTGAGTGCTGGGATTAAAGGTGTACACTACCATGCCCAGTTCCAAATTCATCTTTTAGAAAACCGTATTAGTGAAGGCAAGATTAACATACCAGAAGCCAAACAGATGACTTTTGAGGGGAGTTGGGTACAGGCAGAATGGTATAAGGGTTCACTGGAAACATTCTTCTTCCCTGGGAATAGGACATTGTAAGACAGATGCAAACTGGGTCAGAAATGGGAGGTACCAGATGAGAGGGTAAGCAGGTGTTCTCTACAGAGCAATTCAAGGCCTGAAGGGTAATGACAGAACAGTTACCTGTGGAATATGGACAATAGAGTGCCTGCCAGAACCCAAGAGCAATTATGGGGCATCCACAGGACAGTAAGAGAGTCTAACAGAACACCTGGTCCCATTTGTTGAGTATTCTATACATTGTCTTGCAGGAAAAGAGACCCTGAAATGATGGTATGGGCAACGTGGGACCATATTTAGATTCAACATTAGAACACTTATTAGTTGCCGACTTCTCAGTTTTATTCAAATACATATATAATCCTTCTGTCTTGATTTTCTTGTGACCTTAATATTAATTCAGAATGGATAAAAAGTTATTAAATTCTGCAAGACACTTTAAATTAAAAGTAACATTTAGGATTAGTGGTCCCAGATACAGCCTTCCACAGAAAAATACACATGAGATACAGTAGATCTCTGTATCTGATGTGTATGAGATGACATACATAAATGCATGCCGTGCTAAAAACTTCTGTTGGTGAAGTTATTGTCAGACTACAGAGACTTACAGAGCTGACCTGAGAATCACTGTCGGTGCTTACTATATGCTTTGGCTCCTGAAACAGGAGCTAATCTTCCAGCCTGAAGGAATGGGACTTGTCCCTCCCTTCCTTGCTTGGCCTTTGTTCAGAAAGAGGCTCAGTGCCTGCTCAACACAGGGATGCTGTTTCTCTACCACGATCTCACTCTCCACAGAAGTAGTACTAACAGTGCATCGACATGTTGCTCTGCGCTCACACATTACCACAGTGTCTCTTGCTCCCGATAGCATGAGTTTATCACAAGTATTAGAGGTCAGGTGTCCAAGATGAATGTCACTGGGTTAGTGTCAGCAGGACTGCTTCCCTTGGAAGCCTCAAGGGAAGAACCTCTAGCCACCAATTTCCTTGGCTTCTGTACCCTTCCTCCATCTTCCAAGCCAGCATCTTCAAATCACTATGACATTCCTCGTTCTTCTGCCTCCTCTTCCACATGTCAGGACCCTGTGATAACAGTGGGCCATCTGGAAAACCCAGGCTAGTCTTTCTAT